GGAGGTGCGCCCCCTTATGCCCTCGCGCTGCCACTCTGCTGCCTCTTGCAGGGAGTGGGGTGGGGGAGCCGAGGCCAGTGCTGCTGGCCCCAGCTCCCCCACCTCCTGTCCGGTCCTTGGTGCGGCTTGCAGGGAGTGGAGTGGGGGAGCAGAGGCCAGTGCTGTGGAATCATGGCAGTGCTCCCCCACGCTTGGAGCACTCTGACTGTTTCCGTCAGCCAGTCAGAGTGCGAATAAAGCACTACGGACAGACAGACAGACTTAGACTTTTATAATATTAGAATATATATATAACTATATTTATACAAATATACACAATATATGCAAATATATTTTCCTTTCTGATTAAGTACTCAACCTTTTTCCAGTTCTATAACCTATGATCCTGATCCAATGCCACCAGCACAGGGGGCATTATTTTGAGAAATGACAGGGCATGGCCAATGGCCGCTGTCCTCTGGTTGTAAAGTTCAAGTGAATGCGTTTTGTGTCTGGTCTTAACTTGAACCAAGGATCAGGACTCCAGAGTTCTGTCCTGTATTTAGTTTGAAGCTGTAAGCAGAATATTTTTTTTCTATATATTACAAGGCTGGTCACATAAAACAAAAATCTCATTGCATGAAGAAATGTTTGTTATAGTTAAAAAAAAGTGCTATAAGCTATTTGCTTTTTTAAAAATATGGTATATTGCAAGAATTCTGTTCTTCCCCAGCCAACAGAAATGACTCTGAAAATCAGACCAGACTCTGAGTTTTAGTATTAAAGGTCATGAAAGAAATCAGGGAAATGCTCTAATAGTGAAAGTGCAATTAGGAACCTGGTGATTGACTTATTTATTGTGAAACTATACAAGTAGCTTTTTATCAAGTTACCCTATTACTGAGAAAGTCCAACATTATTAGTAGTCGAGAGACCTGATGCTTTTTTCTCAACTGAACATATTTTATCACAAAGGTCAAAACTGAGATCATTTTTAAGAGGCAATACAATGCTAGCATCATTTTTTTTTTTTCCTGTTAAGGAAATCCTTCAAATCCCAACCCTACAAACATTTGAAGCCAATAGAGCTTCATGCAAAGATTTTCTGCCTAGAGCAGCTTGTAGAATCACGATCTTAGAATTTAATTTGGTGCAGGGATATAGAGAACTACTCAGTGTACATCGTGACTTGGGCAACATTTTTTTTTTTTGAGTAATGCCAGCTATAAAGTAAAACAGTGGCCTCCTTATTTTACTGTATCCTCTTTTTTTTCTTGTATTGGTTCAAGCAGGAATTCCCAAGCCACTATGCAGTCTATTGCTAGTTGTTGTGTAGCAGAAAGAAAGGCATTCTGGTGTCAATTCTACCTGCTGCTTCTATATATACTGGGCTGTAACAGAGCTATAAGGAGCCAGGGGAGAATGTTTTCAGCATTGTGTTATAGAATTCCTTCAGTGTTGTAATTTATTCTGAGTTCTGTTCAGACCCTGGCCAGCTGAGAAGACAGATGGCACAAAAATGGCTTAAAACTCCTTTGCCTCCCTTCTTTGGTATGTGCTTTCTATGTTGCACTTCCCAGGAAGCACAGCACATTATTTGTGTAGAATATGCGCCAGGACCAAAAGGATTCATCCTACATTCTGGATATATGAAAAGGCTGTTAATAAAACACTGTAATAAAGTAGGGACTAACTGGGGCTGAGCCGGTCCCAGGCTCCAGCTAGAAGTAATCAGACAATCAAGCTGAGTTATCCCTCAGAGAGAAGGCCCACCCATACTGGCCATGTAAGCTCAGATCAGACAGCACAAAAGCTGTGTGGGCAATGGACCTCATTTTTGTGCTTCTGGCCTGCTTGGAACTACTAAACTTGACCAGGGTTTGAATTACACTCCCACTCTTGGGGAGGGTCTGCAGTCCCGGTAGCTGGAAGCTGGAAGGAGCTACTGCCTGAGCTGCTTAGAAAAGTGCAGGGCAAGCCAGGGGCTCTCGTCTTTTATGGGGGGGGCTCTTGTCTCTTGGGGGGGGCTCAGCCCCCTCTGAACCACCCACCCCCCATATTTTGAACCCTGAACTTGACTCTATGCTCTGAAACTCTAGTTTGTGACTCTGCTTATTCATGATTGTTCCCGTTCCTGTTCCTATCTTGGTCCTTTTGACCTGAATGAAGTGCTTGTCCTGACTAGTACCTCATCTTGTCCTTTGGTTTGATATCTTGGACCCAGGCTGATACCCAGCTTAATCTTGGCTTACACTCCAGTAACCCCTGATCTGGTTTGCTTCACCTGACCATCCCGACCTTGTCGCCCCTTACAGATGTACACACATGTGCATGTACATGCATGAAAGTTCACAGGCTTTCTAGAATGCATGCTTGTTTAGAGCTGGTTACTTTTCTGACATTTGGCAGTACTTTTTATCAAATGCATGGGATCTATCTCCACCTCACAACAGCTGTATGTTTTAAAACCAAGATTAGATGAACATCTCGGCTTATCTTGAAGAAGCAATTAACTAAATTTGTTGTTTGAACTATACTGAAATGATGGTGGTACTTGAAGTAGGAAAGAAACAAAAAGTGACTTTAGTTTCAAGTTGTATGCGATAGTATTCCCCTCTGCAAGAGGAAGAATAGGAAGGAATGGAAACATCAGATTTCTAAGAGGCTATTGCCAATAATAAAAAATAACAGAGAAATATGCAACTGCCAACGAAACAATTGTTAACATTTTCTACAGCAATACATTTAAGATAATTATAATTGTTCTTGCAATACCTACAGAAAACATACCACATTAAACAAGAGGGGAAAATACTTTTTATAAAACTCAGACATATATCGGTTTTGTGTAGAAGAAACAATGATAACAGGAAGTAAATGACTAAATCATATCACTCTCAGAGGATTCGCAACTTAAACACTAAAAGACAATGCTTTATAAACTTTCAGCTAATAAAAAGAACTATCACCATGAAAAAGCTTGTTGGAAAAGCTTCTGAAAGAAAAGAAAAAGATGACAACTTCTAGATAAACATTAAATAAAAGTTGAGCTACAGAGCTGGACTTACACAGTCCCTGCATTTGGGCTGCAGTTTTTTCAAAAGAAAATAATCAGGTCTGCATTTTGGTGCCTGCAGTGAATTGTGGGTACAGTCAGTCATAGTTGAATATCTACTTGTTTGTCCCTACAAATCAGGTAAATAACAAGTTTATTAATAATCTGTACCTATAATTAACCAAGATTGTAAAACTACACTTGCAAAAACAGACCCAACTGAATTTCAGACTTTTTAATTCCAGTTTCTGTTGTTAAATCTGAACAATCTCCATTGAAGCCATAATGTTTGTTCATAAATATAACCCAAAGCGGGATAGTATCTACTTTTAATTCTGTTTACTGCTTTTAGGACCTGAACATCTAATAGGTGCCAAGTACAGTGATGACTACATTTTGGACCCTGAACAGAACTGAACTGAATTCAGTAGAAGCTGGATTTTGCCTGCTGAAGCCAGTAACAACATAGATACTTATCTAAGGTGAATTCTGAAACAGTAAGCCTACCTGAAGCAGCTTCCTGATTCTTTTCAGGTTGTGTATCAACAAGAGGTTCTTTTCTTGTGAAACGCGGTCTAACTGTTCTTCCACTTGTATTAACAAGTTCTGCAAGAGGATTGTTGCCATTGGTTCATTGTTGGAGGCAGCCTCCCTATGCAATAAAAATTAATATGAAGCATACTTGCAAATGAACACAAATTCATGATAAATGTCACTCATTAAATAACTTTTTTGGTTTGTTAATTTATATTGAGTAGAGAGAGAGAGAATAGTTCTGTAGCTTGGTGTTATGGCCCTCAGCTGAGAGGGAGGGCAACCTAGTTCAAATCTCTGC